TGTAATGTATTATTTTCAATACATGATGCTAGGCCCACTGGATATCCACACATGAAAAAATGAAGTTGGACCTTTCTTTTCTTTTTTTTTTTTTTGAGACAGAGTCTTGCTCTGGTCACCCAGGCTGGAGTGCAGTGACGCGATCTTTGCTCACTGCCACTTCTGCCTCCCGGGTTCAAGTGATTCTCCTGCCTCAGCCTCCCAAGTAGCTGGGATTACAGGTACCCGCCACCAGGCCTGGCAAATTTTTTTGTATTTTTAGTAGGGAAGGGGTTTCACCATGTTGGCCAGGCTGGTCTCAAACTCCTGACCTCAGGCAATCCACCCACCTCAGCCTCCCAAAGTCCCGGGATTACAGGTGTGAGCCACCATGCCCAGCCCTTTCTTTATACTATACATAAAAATTAACTCAAAATGGACCAACTACCTAAATTTATAAGCTAAAACGATAAAACTTCAAAGAAAACACAGGGAGGGAGGCTTCATGATTCTGGGATTCAGCAATGGTTTCTTAGATATGACACCAAAAGAATAAGCAACAAAAGAAAAAATAAATTGGACTTCATCAAAATTAAAAACTTTTTGTAGAAGACAAGGGAAGGGGAAAAACTTTAAAAATTCTGTGTCTCAATACCATCAAGAAAGTAAAATGACAACCCACAGAATGGGAGAAAAATTTTGCAAATTATGTATCTGATAAGGGGGTGGTCTATATAGAATACATCAAGAATTATTACAAATCAGTAATAAAAAGACAACCAAATAAAAAAATAGACAAAGGATTTGAATAGCCATTTCTCCAGAAAAGATATAGAAATGGGCTGGGCGCAGTGGCTCACATGTGTAATCCCAGCGCTTTGGGAGGCCAAAGTGGCAGGATCACTTGAGGTCAGGAGTTCGAGACCAGCCTGGTCAACATGGTGAAACCCTGTCTCTACTAAAAACACAAAAATTAGCTGGGTGTGGTGGCAGGCACCTGTAATCCCAGCTACTTTGGAGGCTAAGGCAGAAGAATCACTTGAATCTGGGAGGCAGAGGTTGCAATAAGCCGAGATTATACCACTGCACTCCAGCCTGGGTGACAGAGTGAGACTCCATCTCAAAAAAAGATATACAAATGACCAATAAACACACAAAAAGATACTCAACATTATTAACCATCAGAGAAATGCAGATCAAAATCACAATGAGATACCATTTCACATCCACTGGGATAGCTACAATCAAGAAGTCAGACAAAAAGTGTTGGTAAGGACATGGAGGAATTGAAACTCTTGTAGACTGCCAGTAGGAACATAAAATGGTACAGCCACTATGGAAAACAGTCTGGCAGTTCCACAAAAAGTTAGGCACAGTTACCATATGACCCAGCAGTTCCACCCCTAGGTATGTACCTAAGAGAACTGAAAACATATGTCCACACAAAAACTTGTGCACAAACGTGAATAACACTATTCACAACAGCCCCCAAATGGAAGCAATCCAAATGTCCATGAACTGATGAAAGGATAATCACAATGTGGTAGATCCATATAATGCAAAATCACTGGACGATAAAAATGAATGCAGTACTGATATATGATACAATATGGATGAACCTTGAAAACACTGTGCTAGGTGAAAGAAGACAGTCACAAAAAACTACAGATTATATAGTTGCATTTAGATGAGAAGTCAGGAATAGACACGTCTTTTTTTTCTTAATACCTTTTTAACAAACCTGCAAGGAACAGGCAAATCTATAGAGATATAAAGTAGATTTCCAGATGGGAAGTGACTTATCTGAGACCACCCAGTCAGTTGTCACCTGAGCCTCATCTGGACCTCACATTCTTTTCACTAAGCCATTTTTGATTAGCAGCCAGGAGGATGGATTAGAAAGCATTAAGAGCCATACTAACAATAACACCAAAAAACCCCCAGAAATTAAGATGCAGCATTTCCAATTAAAAATAAGTCAGGAGTAGACGATCTCTGGAAAATGAGATCACCGCTGATTTTTATTTTCTTTGTGATTTTCACATTTCTCAAACTTTTCCTGCATCAATTTTGTAATCACAAAATTCTCATAGTCACTTCTAAGGAACATCATTGGGCACAAAATGAGTCAGAGATGTACAGCAATGCATGACCGTGGCACCACAGGGAAGAAGCAAGGCATGATTTGCCATGCCAATGACTTTTTGGTTCTCCATAGAGTTGTATTCAAATATTACAGCTGGAAAAATGAAACAGCACTGAACTTGGAGACAAGCTTTGCCAATTGCTAGTGAGATGATTTCAGTTAAATTACTTGGTCTATTTCTGCATCCAAAAAATAAGAGGATTGGATCACAAATTTTAGAGTCTCACTCTAAAATTCTAAGAATCTATGAACACTTCAGGAAGGAGAAAAATTCAATTCATTAGAAACTAAAGACTCATGTTCAATTGCATTCCTATTCCTATTCCCACCCTATATGCCAGGTGCTTTGCTAAACACTCTAGAAACATTATCTCAGTGAAACCACTGTGATCCCATAAGGTAGCTGTGATCGATTCCATTTCATACATGTTCAAGGCTCGGAAAGGTTTCATAACTTGCCAGGATATGAACCCAAGTGTCCTGAATTCAGGGTTGGTGCATGCTGCCTCCCTTACCAAGTATTTTCCTATTCTGAGCTGGCAGTTCGGAAACCATGTGTCTCTTGATCACAACCGAGCGGCTGAGAACTGGAAAATGATTGACTACAATGATTCCTGCAAATAAAGCAAAGTGATAACTTATCATTATAATATTTTTCACATCTTGGTTTTGTGATTAGTGATTCTGAGATGCCATTTTCCTGTTTAAATTAACAAAGACATTCTATGAAAGCAAGCAGGAATAATATTCATTTAAATACATTACAATTCATTATCTAACAATACCCAGTCAAAACCCATTAAAACTCAGTAGAGGACCAGAATGGAAAGGATCTAGAAAGGACTTCTAGAAAAAAAATTCCAGTGAAAAACTAGTGTGCATGTTGGGAGGTGGGGTCACATGCAGGTATCCCTGAGGCAAAAGAGAACATCACATTGGTGTGCCGGTAGGAGAATCCTGAAGCAGACTGAAGTACAGGTGAGGAAAACAGGGTTAATCATCATCATTTTTGATGGCTGTTTTGCAACCTTTGTAAGCCTCCTCATGTCTCTTTCTTTTTTTTTTTTTTTTTTGAGACAGAGTCTCACTGTGTTGCCCAGGTTGGAGTGCAGTGGTGCAATCTCGGCTCACTGCAAGCTCCGCCTCCTGGGTTCAAGTGATTCTCATGCCCCAACCTCCTAAGCAGCTGGAATTACAGGCTGGGATTAAAGGGATGATATTTTTTGTTGTTTAATTACTATCATATCCAACCAAATGCCAACAGTATCCCTTTAGCAAGACAATACAAAATGGCACATGCCACCACACCTAGCTAATTTTTGTCTTTTTTGGAGAGACAGGGTTTCACCATATTGGCTAGGCTGCTCTCAAACTCCTGGCCTAAAGTGATCCACTCACCTTGGCCTCCCAAAGTGCTGGGATTACAGGCATGAGCTACTGCGCCTGGCCTGTAAGCCCTTTCCATATACATAAAAATCTTTTTTTTTTTTTTTTTTTTTT